GTATACTTATTAATGACTTGAAAGCTCAAAGTTACAAACCCCTAACTAGATCTATTACTACTAAAATTGCATTCCATGTATTCGATTTCAAATCTACTCAAACATAAATCTACCTCCATAATTCGAGTTTACCTTTAACTCTCTCTAGTCTTATCAATAAGAAGAATATCATTAGCAAAAAAAATACACCATGGTACACCCTCTTGTAAATGTCTAGTAAGAACATCAACGACTAAAGCAAAAAGATAAGGGCTTAAGGTTGATCTATCATGTAATCCAATTGAAATAGGAAATTACTTGGTCAAATAATAGCTCCTGCATACATATCCCTAATAACCCCTTTAACCCCTTTCTCTTCAGAATTATCTATAGAATTTCTCTTGTAACTTTATCATATGCTTTCTTTAAATCAATACTATCATATTAGAAGAAGAAGAAGAAAAAATAATTCTGAAGAGAAAGGGAAATTGATGAAAAGTTAGAAGAAGAAGAAGAAATCAAATCCGATCCTAAAAACGACATTGCATTAGAAAAAAATTGATGTTGAGTGGGATGAAGATGAGCAGCTTTTGGTAATCCGACAAGTTTTGACAACTAAAATTGAAAATAGGGATAGGTGGCTTAGGAGAAACATTCTCAAAACCACTTGCACGGTTGAAGGAAAAATTTGCACTTCTATGATCGATAACGGGAGTTCGGGAAATTTTGTTTCACAAGTAATGGTTGAAAAGCTCAAGTTGAAATCAAAACCACTTGCCAAACCCTATAAAATTTCTTAGTTTAAAGAAGGAGGTGAAGTTCTAATAACAAAGCAATGTTCTATCAACTTAACAATTGGGAGTTCTTTTAAGGATCGAGCTATTTGCGATGTCGTACCTCTTGAAGTCTGCCATATTTTGTTGGGTCGCCCTTGGCAATTTGATCACAAAACTATTCACAACAGGGAAAATAACACTTACTCTTTGATTCAAAATAATAAAGAGTTCATTCTTTATCCTAAAAAATATGTGCCTGATTCACCTGCCAAAAATAATAAGGTTGCCAAAATAAACACTCATGAACTGCTTTTGAACATAAATGATTTGAAACATTTTGAGGCAGCCTACTTGGTTTTGGAAAAAGAAACTGAATCAACTCTTCAAATTCCTAATGAAATTCAAGCTTTAATTGATGAATTTTCTGATATAACACCTGAAGAATTGCCCTAAGTTGAGTTTGCATACAATAATTTTATTAATCGCTCCACTGGTAAAACTCCATTTGAGATCATTTATGATCAACCAATACCTCACATTTTAGATAGAAATTATTTGCCTTTGCCTAATAAAGTTAGTGCTGAAGCTTCTGAAACTTTTGATCATATCAAAACTATCTAACAGCAAGTCCTTGAAAAACTCCGAATGACTAATGTTAAATATAAATATGCTGTTGACAAACATCAGAGAGAAGTTTATTTTAAGGAGGGAGATTTGGTTATGACTTACTTTCGTCACCAACGATTTCTTGTTAGTACTTTTGGAAAGTTAAGCATGAAGAAATTTGGGCGTTTTTATGTTCTATGAAAGTTGGGCACAAATGCTTATCTCTAAGATCTTCCTATTACTATTGGCACTTCTCATGTGTTTAATGTTTCTGACCTTTCTTTGTATGAAGGAAATTCTAAAGATTCTGTGGAAGTTGAAACTTTACCACTCTCCACATCAATTCTAAATAATGATGAACAAGTTGAAGATGTTATTGATGTCAGAGTTACTAAAACTAGACATGGCGAGCACAAGAGATTTTTGGCAAAATGAAAGAATCGTCCCTTGATAGACTGTACTTGGATGGATGCTAATGAGTTGAAAAATCATCATAAGGATCTTTATCAGAAAATTATGGAAGCTTTCTCATCAGGAGATGAGATTCTCCAACTAGGGGGGAATTGATGCAATCATACTTTAGTTTATTTTTGTTTTGATGTAATTTGAATATTAGTTGAATTTTATATTTTTTTATTCTATCCAACGATCATGGTAGGATGTGCTTGGGCATGACAAGGCTTGGGCTTGCTAGCATTTTGGGTCCTTTTGTTCTTTGGGTTGCTTGCTGTCTCTTGGTTCGGGCCTTGGCTGCTCTCGGGGTGGGCTTTGGCTGCACTGATTTTGAGCTGAAATCTTGGGATCTTCTTGGTGCTAGCTGATTAATGCTTGAGCTGATGCTTAGCTCATTATTTGGAGGATTTATTGCACTTCTTAGCTCATAATTTGAAAAGGTATGTGGACTGGAGCTTGTTTCTTTCCCTCCTTGTGTCTCGATTTTTTCCTTGTGTTGTTCTCGTGAAATTATGCTGGGTGCTGGTTGCCTGTTCCGTTCTCCCCATAGATGCTTTCCTGTGGCATCTCCTTCCCGGTTTCTGTGTTGGCTTTTCGGGTTCCTCTCTGGCTGTGTTCCTGTAGCTTTTCCTAGCCGGTTCCTGTGCTGATTTTTAGGAGTTGTTTTGTGATAGTTGCTGCCCTTCCTCTTTCCCTTACCTGATTGGTTTGGTTGGAGATTGAAGTTGGCTGTTTGGCTCCCCTTTTTCTTCTATAAATATGTGGAGTTCTTGTCATGAAGGGGTTGTTGATTATCTTGAGATAAGTTGATAAAAACCTGAGGGTTTCTTCTCTTGGAAAAGTTTGAGAGCTTGTTCCACCTCTTCCTCCTCTCTATTTCATCTTGGCTTTTAACCTCTTCTTCTCTACGCAAGTTCCACTTCACTTGTATCCTTCTTCTTGAGCTATTGGAAGTTGTTTGTTGGCTGATTTGGGAGACATTTGCTGGAGGAATTTGGTAGAATGTTGGACCTTTTTGCTGTGGTGGACCCTCGGTTTGCAAGCCTAAGCACTTTATCATATATTTCACACTTCTCATTGCATGTGAGGAAACTGCTTGCCGGTTGTTCTGAGGATAATATTTTTATTTTAAAATTTTGTTTCGTTTGTTCGATCTTTTTCATTTGTTTTGGGGTTTGTTTGAATGTTTGCAATCTAGTTTGAATTGAGTTTGATTTTCATTTGTCCTAATGTTCTCTTATTTGACTTTTCTTTCTAGTTTGCCTGCATCAAAAAATAGAGGACATGTATCAAGTCCTGGATGAGAAAAAATGAAGGGTTGCATTAGGTAATCGACAACCAATGTAAAACTTGTCACATAATCATGACATGAATTCTTTAATATAAGATATATACCTTTACAAATTAATGTTTTGTATGATGTAAAATGAAAATCATTATTCTTTGCCCGAAGTCTAAAAAGAAGGGTTGATATTATTAGAAAAATTAATTATAGAGGATTATTGCTATTCTATTTAGTTGTGATGCTTATTTTCTAAATATAATATTTACCTCTAAAAAAGGGCCATTGAACCATTGATCTTAACTTTTCTCAATTGACTCAAAGTTGCCCTAAGCAAATGTAAGGCCCTTCAAGCATTCTCTACCATTAAATAACCAAACTTATCCCCAAACCTAACTTTGGGACCTCTTTTGTCAAATTTTGCTAAAGTCAACCTAGCTTTTGGGCTCTATTAGACTCCTTGCTAAAATCCTTAGTGAGTCTTTGCTTGCTAGAACCGCCCTATATCATTTAGTTACAAGATTTTGGCTCCCAGAAAGCATTTGGTATGCTGCAACTGACAAAGCCATCAACACTATTTATTCTATAGCTCAAGCACCTGATAACTCTATTGTAGACATGGCGAAAGGCTCTTTGGTTTCTGTTCTCAGTAGCACAGTAACAGTAATGGCATGAAATCTTCTACTGTTTCGACTTCAAAGCTTGGTAGATTTTTTTTTTTGTAACAAGTCAAATTGCTCTGAATAAGCTGTTTTATAGTAAATCTTGAGGTAGAAAGGTGCAATTATCGAGCAGTCTTACACACAAGATTTGCTCATATTCCCTCCCAAGCCAGGAAGGTGTGACTTGACTGCAATACAGTTGAGCTTCCATGGCTCAGGCTCAGAAGCTGCAGTACTGAGCTCAGCAATCTTTGTTCTCATGGAGTTTTCAGAAGAGATCTGCTGTGCATTGTTTGCCCAATCTGATCTCTTGCTAGTTCATTTCAACTGAACTCGCTAATAAATGATGCATTCCATATTGCTCACCCCTTCCTAAAAGTTGACAAATTAGGATTGAGCCAAAGCAGACATGTATATAAGTTAGCCTATGTTGCACCGATACATCTATTTATGAAGGCGTGTTGTATCCGATACACTGATACACGGATACGCCTCCGATACGGCACCGATACATGTCGGATTCGGCTTTGCCGTATCCAATTAAAATAATATTTAATTTCAAAAGGACACGCGTATCCAATATGTGTATCCGTTGAAAAAAAAAAACCCGAAAAAAAAAGACACGTCGTATTTACTTCCGTGGCTGCGAGCAAGGTTCTCTCATTTCCGAGACCGATTTGATTCTCTTGATGATATGGGAATATTAGAAATAGCTAATTTTTCACTTGATGAGCCTGAAATAGAAGCTTTGATATTTATTAAAGATGATATAGAAGTTCAAAGACAAACCAATGAAAAAGCTAATAATATCATTCCTTCTATTGAATAGTTGAAACTTCATGTGCTAAACAATTTATGTTTATGTTTTTTTTTTTGTAATAGACATTTAATGCTTACTTTAATTTTAATATTATAAGCTATGAGGCTACAAATGATATTGCTCTCATTTTTTTTGTAATTTCAAATATTATGCTTTGGTTGCTTTCTTAATTTTTATATATGATTTACAAATTATAATGCCGTGATTGCGCCATACCCGTATATTGTATTATTAAGAATTTATGTCCCGTATCCGTATCGTGTCATATCCATTGTCGCCGTATTCATATCGGTGCAACATAGAAATTAGCTCATTCCTTTCTCTGAAATATTGTTTCTTTTTTTTTTTTAAATAAAATTTTTCTTTTCATTTTCCAATAGAATTTGATAGTGAATTATTAAAGAAAAATACAGTGGTTCAGATTCATTTATGCATAATTTTCTTCTAACAAAACATCAAATATGATAATTCTGAATTAAAATACATTCTTTCAAACAAAACAGAGCATTGGAGAAGTTGAGACATACCATTCTATTCAGGAATTGTGAAGTAAAATTCCCTCTGTAATATAAAGAGAAATATTGAAACAGTACGCTACAGAAACGACTAATAGCAATATAAGCTTACGAATAAAGTCTTGCTTGCAGTTAGTATACTGTATTGAGGTAGAAATACAAGCCGGCCAGCCCTGCAACTCCAAGAAGCACGGCAACTGGTAAGGCTCTCCTGCATTGATTCAAAGTGAGAGATCAAATTGCGCTGGAATGGCTTGGGGCAACAAAAATGATAAATCAAAATTAAAATATGAAAAGCTTTTACAGAATTATTTGTACATTGAATTATTTTTATTTTCCTTTTTTTTTTAAATTTTTTGTTGGATGAAGCTTTAGGCTTTGTTTTGGACGGCTTTCTTCCTGCTTCTTAAAGCGGCTTTTTAGTACAAAAATTAAAAACAGCTTTAAAAAGCAGGAAGAAAACTGTCCCAAATGAAGCCTTAGTCTCCTAAAAACTAAAGGTAAGTAAACAGAGAAGGGTCCTAATTCTCACTCTCTATTCATCCTAAGTTCTATTGCTCAGAGTATATCTAAGTATTATGTGCTTCCAACAAAATACTTGAAGGATTATAAAAAAGGAAAATAAAGTGGGAGAAAGACAGCCATGTTTAAGAAGCAAGGGACAATGCCCAAGTGATGGAAATCTTCATGGAATCTCAAACATACAAGGGTAAGCTTTCCTCCAAATTTTAATTCAATAATGCTTAGACAATTCGATTTCGATTGCTTGTCGAACGCTTCCCATGAAGTACAATAATCACGAATTCGCTTATTCACATATAACTAATAAATCTTCAGGGAGTGATGATACAGTCGAACTGGTTTAGCCGTCCCAAACAGTGGGCCAGCTCCTGCATTACTGCAGAATGTTAATGCAAATTGCTTGAGGGTTGTTTAGTCATTTGGTGTTATTTTTGTATTTGCTTTAAGTATGAGTTGTAATAGGGTTAGGACATCTTTTTGGTGGCTAAGTTTCTGAGTGCTTTGGTGTACTTGGACTCTAGCAGCATCTAGAGAGTTTTGGAGAGAATGATCCTCCTCTCAAATAGAGGATCGTTTGTATCTTGCTGTTTTCTTTTATTTTCTAGCAATCGAGAGTACTTTTCTTGTGTTTTCATCCATAAAAACCCTAAAATCTACTTGCCGCTGAAATTCTGATTTCAGCAATTAAATTCCTGTTTTTCCTATTGTTTCCTATCAAGTGACTCTGGTGAAGATGAAGAAGTGCTGCCAACACTAGAAGTCACCACAGATGATGATAATTTTTTTAACTTTGAAGGAGAAAGAAGAACTTTGTATTGCAATAGAAAATCTTAATGAAACTATTATTTTCATGTGCATACTTGCTCTCATTTACTTCTGAATTTTTTCAATTGATGTGCTATAGAGCTGATTAGATTTCCTAGGCTATTGAACTAAATGATTGAGTTCAACAAACGAATGTGCAAATCCTAAATAGCTTTTGAACAATACTTCCTTCAAGTTTTACTCAGCCGTTCTTCTCTTTTCATATCCTTAAACAAATCGTGGCCTTAGAAGGACCTCGCCATTCCCTAGAGCTTTAGTCTTCATGCCTAGACTCATCTAACAAAAATGACTATAGTCTCAATTCAATGTAGATCTTATTGCAAATGAGGAGTTCGAGTTATGTGGCTTGACTTTTCTATTCAATAATATATAAAATGCTTGAAACATAATGAATGCCTGAGTTTTGCCAAGTTCATAAGATCAATCTTAGGATAACTTTAGATTGTTCCAGGGCAATAAGTGCATACTAAGTATTTGAATGAAGAGCACAAATTGTGCAAACACTTAACTTGCTTATAAAAATACTCTATAGAAATTATGAGATTTTTTTTTTTAAGTTCACCGGATATACATTATCTCTTAAAATGAGATTCGAACTAAAGTTTAAGAATAAAATTTGGCTTGATTAAGAATAGACTATTTGTCAATCTAGGACCCTTACTCTTCTGCAGGGATTATCAGATAATTCTATTCCCAAATTTAAATTAGTCTATCTTTTTCTTTATTCGCCGAGTATTTATTTCAGCGAAACTTTTTCCAACGCTCATCTTAACATTCCTTCGAATTTGAAGTTGGAGGACTTCAAAATTGACTTCAAATTGAAATTTCTTGTTTATATATAAGTTGATTTAGCATTTTCTCATATTTCCCTTCTCCTTATATTCACCAAACTTGCCTATATAAGTGAGTTACCCAAGTTACATTGAGTGGCAAGTTCCACAAGTCTTTGCCAAATTTGATACAAATTCATCGGGAACAAAATGAATTTTCTAAATTCAATGGATTCAAACCAACTAGCAAGTTCATCAAATATTTGTTGATTTCACCGGGTTGCTAGGTCGATTTGCTCCTTAATGATATAAGGACCTTCCCATATAGAGCCAAACTTCCCAATAATTAATTATCAAACTGCAACTTCCACTTTTTTAAGAACCAAATTCCTAACATGAAATATTTTCCCCCAAGCATTTGGATTGTAATATTTTGTCACACTTCGTTTAACTTCTTCTGCCTCAAAGAAGACTGAATTCTAAGTTCTTACGGATGGTCTAAAACAATCTCCATTACTTCTTTATTTTTGTCTCTCCAATCATCTAATTCTCCTTCAAAATTTGAAGTTGCTACAACTTGTTAGTCGTGCAGCTTAAATTCAACTAGAGTAAGGGTCTGTTTAGCTTCAAGTAGAATTTAACTAATGTAGGTTTTAATAAATCCAGTAAATCCAGATTTATTAAATTCTGAGGCATATTTGAAAATTGTTTAGCCTGATAGAGGTTAAATTCGACTAAATCTTGATGAACTGTTTGACTTTTTACTTCGAGATTTAAGTCTGTTAACTCAAATAAGATTTAATAATACCAAATTTCTTGTTACTATGTATACTTGATTAATATTAGTTATTAAGATTAATTTATGCGTATCTAATTTACATGATTGAATATTATTAATTTGATTTTAAAATTTTCTTATCATCCTAATTAAATTATATATATATATATATAATTATTAATTAGTAAAATGCTAAACTAATGAAACAAAAAAATTGAATTTCTTCTAATTAATCTAACCTCTAACCTCTCAATAAAAAAATAAATATATATCATTCATCACTACATGAGAAATTAAATTTCTTTATGATCCAATCGATTGGTTCGCTTTCCTGCATGAAATATTATTGTAATTCATAAAGAGAAAAAAAAAGATGGGCAAAAATGAGAAAAGCTAATAGGAGCAAAAATGAAGTTGGTATAGGAGTTATAGTTCTTCTCTATCATTTGCCCACCGATTTCCAGAATTTCTCTTCTCATTGGTTTGTCTATGCTCTTCCTAGAGTCTTAAGCCTGTCTAGGGTTTGCTTTTCGTCATTGCCATTCTTGCTTCATTTCTACTTTGACATCCATGCTTCATGTGAAGTAGAGTTATGAGAGAGTCACTAAAGAAGCTTCTTTGCCTCCTTCGATGATGTTGTTCTTGTCAGATCGTATTGGAAGTCATGAGGGAGCTCGTAGCAAAGGTAATGATAGTTTTCCCCTTTCGCGTGCTTCTTTGGCTAAATCCTATAAATCCGCCGAACTACCAGATTTAGTAAATCCAGGATTTAAGGCAAAATGGAGAAGGAACGAGATTTAAATATGTAAGATTTAAAGTTGTAATTTTTGCTATTTGGTGGGATTAGGCTAAACCCTGCTCAAATTCTGCAACCAAACAGCTTGTAAAGCTTTTGTCTCATGAGATACTGCAAATGGAGTTTGGTTCGTTGGATTGAATGTTAGACATAAAATAGATGATTGGTTGTAGGATTTGAGCCGAATCTTCCTTTCCAGAGATAGAGAAGAATATAGTGGCCAAAACACCTAAATAGCCTTTAGATTGATAAAATCTAGAAGAAGGCAAGCAAGATACAATGAATCTTCTATTGGAAAGGAAGATTCGGCTCTTCCAAATCTCTAGATGCCACTAGCGCCCAAACAAGAGCTAAGAACCATAAAATTTCAACAAAAACAGATATGAAAACCTAACCCTAGCCACCACAACATACTTAAGCATACAATAATTAGATAAATCCCAAAAAAACCCCTTCTATTTGAATTTTCCCTCAAAAACCACCTTAATTCCCCCTAATAAGCTTGTAGACCTCACTATCAAGGGGCGACAGAGATGGGGGTGGAGCTTCCCATCTTCCGCCTCCTGTAAATCTAGACCGGTCCTGGTTGGACCAAGGGTTAAAGTTACGTAATTGGGTATTGAGGCGTTTTTCGTTTGTGATGCAAGGCGTAAGCCTCAAGGCGTTTTGAGTCGTAAGCCTTAAAATCTAAAAATTGCGTAAAAAATAAAAGTTAAAAATTATTTTTTATATAATATTCAAATAATATGTTAAATGATAGCATATTAACTTTCTATTAAACTATGTAGTAACAAATTTATATACATATGAAACAAAAATTGAATAAGATGTAAAGTGTTAAATGAAAAATGATATAATATAGAATTGAAATCCAAATATTACATGAACAAAATAATATAAAATGTATGAATTGCATAAAAGTATCTTATAACATCAAGTTCAACTCAAATTTTTTGCTTTCTCAATTGCCTACTCATTTATGTTTAATTACTAAAGAAAGTTAAAATAAGTGACAACAACTCAAAAATCATCTGTACTATCATTACTAAGGAGAATTTATTTTGAGTCACTGTCATAACAAATTGGTCTCTTCCCTATCTTATCCTGTAGGGTCCAATACCTCTCAATCTCTTCTTCTTCATCTATTTAAGTCATATTCATCTTTCATAAATATTTATCATTAACATAAATATAATACTCCAAAATTATAAGAGGAGATGGTCGTGGCATGCGGCTTTCTGATTAATCCCCTACAGCGGCTACGATGGCGGAGGCTTCGGTGAAGGCAGTGGGTTGAGGCAATTGAGAGGAAATTGTTGTTGCTTGGGGGTGCAAAAAGACATGATTTTTTTGGGGTTTTTGTATAGGATTTAGGTAAGTTTTAAATTCAAAATTTTATAAATAGAGTGAGGCGTACGCCTCATGCCAGCGAGGTGAGGCGCAACTTAAGGCGGGCCTCATCCAAGATGAGGTGTAAGCCTCATAGAAAAAGCTCGAGGCGTAAGCCTTGAGGCTTTTTT